CACTTGAGAAAGAATTTATATGATTTAAACAAGCAAAAATCTATGTTCAATTAGAGTTTCAAAATAAATGTTTGTGATCTGTATTAACTACTGACGTTTCAGAGTCTTAACATGAAAAATCTCATCAAGATTGTATGTTTTTAAGCAATAAACAATCAATAACTATTATATTTGACAAATGAACTCTCACATTTCTAGCAGACGTGTTTGTACATTTAGTATTTTCTTCCAACGTGACACCCCAAAAACTATTGCATATCTCCAAAAGAGATTGACAAGTGAACGGACATGTATTGGAAAGCTCTTGAGGCTTGCTCTCATCAACAGGGTTTTTGGGAAGCAGTAATGATGAAGGAAATGCGAAGAGGGAGAAAGAAACTTTGTTTATAACCTACATTGACAAATTTTAATTTGATCCTTGTTATTAATTTTCTGTTTTACTCACAATTTTTCCCAGCCATTCATTCAATAAGGTTGTTGAACGTCCCCTAAATTCAACAAATAATCATAGGAGTATAAGTATTACTAGAGGTTATGATTTGTGTACAGATACATCATACAGCTTACGATAAAGAAATTAACAACCACATATTCTAGTTAAATCCGCAGTTAAAAAACAGAGACTTATCCAAACCACATTTTCTCACAGGCTCCAAGTTGAACGACTAAAAAAATCTCCAACGCGAACTACAATTCAAGTTCAATCAATCAAGTACGAGAGTTACTTCTCGCATTTCTGCTCGTTAACATTCAGATCGCTCGGATAGAATCTCTGAGTAATCAAATTGCTTAACTCACCGGAGTCTGTGGCTCCACCGGGGATGCTTCGGCGTACATTTGATGCCGGAAGTTTCATTTTGAACGAAGATGATGTACGGAGATTCGGTGCCTTATTTGAGCCGTTTCTGTAAACTCCGCCGGTAGCCATTTCTCTATAATTTTTCTCTTCGATTGAAGAAACGAAAATTTCTCGCACACAGAAGCTAATTAATATAAGGAAAGGGGTTGCCTGGTAATTAACTGGGAAGGATAGGTGTTTTTAGTCTTTTCGGTCGACTTTGATTTCAAACAAGAGGACAGCATAAAGTGAAAGAAGGATGGGGAGTGGGTCCCGTGGGTAATACACTGCTTTCAGCGAAAAAGACATGAACAGTTGAGTGAATAAGGCCTTGTTTGGTCGTAATGCCATGATCTGAACTGAGGTCTGAGCTTAAAGTGGGTCGGTTCATGTATTTGAATACTCGGAACCACCCGTTTTCATAAATCATTTGGTTCCAATTGTTACTATAATGAAATCCAAACTCAAATTGTCCATTCAAATTTGATTATATCCATAATATTTTTATTGAAAAATCGTGAATGGACAGTGCAAATGAGTCGAATACTCATTTACCTATTCAAGGATCGAGAATAAATCGAATATTAAATAACTTTTTTAATTTTTTCTTTTTACGGAAAACATGACACCGGAGAAATATTTTTGCTACTAAAAAGAGCTCCCACAGTTTTCTCACTGACAAACAAAAGGAACAGCTGCACATGGTGTTTTTTACTTCTTTTGTAGCCCAAACAGTACCCCAAGGGTAAAAGTACGAGAATACCCTTTTGAGGGACCGGCCTCGTGAGAACTTGAAATGAGCCGAGCGGTCTTGGATGATGAAATGACTAAAATGGGCTTCCACGACTTAACTGCCTTACAAGTAGTGCGAGCATGTAGGCGTGTATTTAGATTTTAGAGTTGATTGCAATGGTCAACTCATCAGTTGGCTTCACCATGTTTCAATAAGAGTCCAAGTACCTGTAAATTTTGACAGAATTGATATCAAACTTGACGTGGTCGAACTTAATTGATCTATTTTTTTTTTTTCATCTTCCAATGATGCTAGAGGTGTCACGACGGATGGGCCGACAATGACCCGTAAAAATCGGCCTGTGAAAATCGGGACCGCAGGCCGACCCATGACCCGTGTGGACAGTTCACGGGCCAAGGAGGTGTAACCTGCGAACTTCGCGGGTTGCACACCCGCGGCCCGTAAAAAAAAATTGAAAAAAAAAATAAAACAAAAATTAAAAA